CGGTAGGGATTTTGTTAATGTTCTTATATGCACCTCTACGATTGTACCCAGAACTCAAATTAAGATATAACATTAGTTCTAAGGTGCCCCATTTTTTTTTCAAATTCACTTTATGTTTATTTATTTTGTTATATGCAATTTTTGTATGTAGTAATTAATTACAATGTCTGATCGATTGGCTTTTACAAGGTTGTCAGTATAAATGGTAAAGTCCCAAATAATAGCGACCTAACGGCTTTTTATGGTGGCTTCAGTATGATTTTCATACCATTTTTTGGCACGGGGTTAAGATAGGAAAACCAAACACTAATAATAATAATAATAATTATAATAATAATAATAATTATTATTATTATTATTATTATTATTATTATTATTATTTGCATCGCTTATTGCATATTATTAAGTGGATTTGCATTGAATATCCAGCGACATCCTGCAATCTTAGATATCCAGTACTTTTCAGTTTGTTCGTTCTGTGCCAAGTAAACAGGCTTTGTGCAGCACACAAAACATTGCTGTTAACTCTAATGCTTTCAGTCAATCAGAAAGATTCTCTGAAACTTATCTTAAAGCTCCGATTGCAATAGACACCAAACGTACCTGTTTGCAAATCTATATTCTCTTGATAGTTCAAATTTTTCTGCTTTTTTTCTCAACTACTCAAGTTTCAAACTGAAAAGCAACATCAATAAGGTTATTATTATTATTATTATTATTATTATTATTATTATTATTTCCTTTGATTTGATGCTCATATCTTTCTGGGTCCCAACCAGTGACATAATGGCATCTTGACATTTTCCACTGAGCAGTTTTGAAAAAAAATCATGCATATTTTACATAGATAAAGCCCTTCGTAAGGCGTGGGCTATATTTGTGAGAACAATTTTTGCATGTCTTTAAAGCATGCGTCACCAGGAATCTCCTCAATGATTCTACTGAATTTTTCCCAATCAATCCTAGGGCTCCAACTACAACCGGAATTGTTAATGTTCCCATGTGCCACAAGATTTCGATTTCAAAGTCCTTGTATTTTGGTAGTTTTTTTTTTTTTGTTTTTTTTTGTTTTTGTTTTTTTGAAGCTCATCAAATGTACATAACAGTCTACAGAGACTGCCATGTCAATAAGGAAGGTACATTTTCCCTTGCGGTTTTTAATCATGATGTCAATGCGATTGATTAGCTTTGATTTTTCTATCTGTGTGTATTGTAAACTCCCAGAAAATTGTTACAGCTCCTATCTCCGTAACCGAGTTTGGGTGATGTTCATACCAATTTCTTGCAGTTTCCTTTCCGTGAAAGTTGCAACTTTTCCAGTGCAGATATTGGCCCACTCTTTCATGCGAGGTTTTATATTCAGTGTGTGTCAATACCACCCAACCAAATACAGGATGATCAATTGTTTCTGAATATTTATCACTGAATCTACATTTTGGGCTAACACAACTTTTCAGTATGTGTGCTTGGTAATTTCTAGTTAGCAAGCATTGGTCCTCTGCAGCATGAATAAAACCTTTGGTTTCAGCTTTTAACCCAGAGCTACGTAGCCACTGATGGGTACGGGGTTTGTCTACATCAGTTTGTTTGGTACGGGAAGAGTATTGACTTTGAAGCAATTTATCTTGCCATCGTTTCTGTATTTGGTCGGTTGGATTTTCCTTTACTTTCTTTTTTTTTAAGTATTTTGCGGCTGTACTCGGTGTATGATGTTTTACTTGTATATCTTCGCCCATTTGAAATTTTGAACTTGTTGGCTTCCTTTATTACTGAATAAAGTTTCTTAGTTCTTTCTTTTTCTTTGATACAGATCATCATCCAGTTCCCTGTAATTTACAGGCGACTTTGAATGTCAGTTGCTGTACTTTGTAAGACAGTTCTAGTTGAACTAATCCTCTGCCTCCTTCTGATCTGGGCACATACAGACAATCAACATCAGCCTTGCGATGATGCATGCGGTGACAGATTAAAAGCTTTCTCGTTTTGGCGTCCATTCGCTTAATGTCATCTATGGTCCAGGTAAGGATGCTGAAACTATATTGCACCACAGAGACAGCCAAGGTGTTGATGGCTGATATTCTGTTTTTGAATTCAAGTCGGTATTCAGTACCAGACGCAAACGCCTGTAGTACTTCTTTCTTAACTCCTCCTTCATTTTTGTATGCTGTATTCCATCCCATTTTCTAATCCTTAGGTACCTATAGACTTTTTCTTGTTCCACTTCCCTAATCTTTGTGACAAAATATGAATAGAAGTTATCATTATTATTAAATCAAATTCTAAATATGAATTATTACTATTATTATTATTATTATTATTATTATTTCCTTTGATTTCTGTTGGATACACATGTCCTTTCGGGTCCTCAATGGATTCATGGCATTTTTCACTGATCATTTTTGTACAAAAAATACAAAAATTGTACACAAAAGTACATATCGCACATTACGAAGAGCTTAATCTCTGTAAAATGTGTGTGATCTTTCTTTTTCTTTTTTTTTGTACAGAAATGATCAGTGAAAAATGGACTACCAGGAATCCCTTCAATGAGTCTATTGGAACCTTTTTCAATCAATCCGAGAGCTCCAACTACAACTGGAATTACTGATTTCCTCATGTACCACATTTTTTTAGATTTCCACTTCAAGATCCTTGTATTTTGATAGTTTTTTGAAAATCTTCAAAGATACATTACAATCTGCAGTGACTGTCATGTCAATAAGAAAAGCATCTGCTTTGATTTTTATCTCTATGTATTATTATTATTTTAACGTCTCTATAAAAATATTCGCGCATATTTTAAAATTATGACTTCGTAAATAAAAAGTAAAATTAGATAAACAAAGCAATATTATACTCTTATTTTCAGTTTTTTCATTTCCAGTTTTAAAAATGACTTCTATTTTAGGTTTTACAAAAAAATTTAAGGGAAATTATTTCTCACTGTAAATATTTTTAAAATATTTTTTTAAAACAATTTTCAGTTATCTTGATTGGTGGCCTCATAAAATAAGGAGTAGATGTATTTACATTAAGAAAAATATCCCCCTCCCAAAAAATTCTCTTAAATAAATTTTCACAGATAAAATAGATACATATATTTTCGTTGAAATCAGATTTTGATTTTATGTACATTTTTACGTTAAAATTTCCGACCTAGTAAACAACTTTTTTAAGCATTAATATCTAGTTCTATATACAGAAGCTCCTTTCTCTGAGGTTTGTTTGCAAGTGATAATATTAAAAAGTAATATTAAAAACATTTATAATATTTGTGTACCTATTTTATTTTTGTCCCTACATTGCTGCTTGAAACTGATATTGCTTGAGGAAAATTCATAAAAAAAATATGTTTTTCATACAAAAGTTATTTTAGCTCTTTCGGTCGATATCAAAATCTGTTTTAAATAAGTGTGCATTTCTTCATTGTTGTCTTCTTACACCAATAATAATTGTTAATTTGTTTTTAACACGTTCTTACGTCTTCACTCTACTGTACACTTTTTGAAATTTTTATCGCTCCGTCTGAACTATATATATTGTTACCGCAGGTAAGGATATTTATCCACATGCCGACTCAAGTGGAATGGTATACAAGATCGTGTTTAATGTGGGAGCTCAAGCGTATATGTCTTAGTCCTCATGCCTACTCGGCTCAAGCTTTCTCGACACTTGCCTTTTGGGGATGTCTCAGGCCCCCTTAGCCCCCCCCCCTCCGGAAGGAGACGTATTGCTTAGAAGGACGAATCCCTGGGACTTGAGCATGTTAAATTTCAGCCACCCGGCTCATTTGATAAGTATAAGAGCTTAAAGAGTAATTTCTAATGATAGAAATTAGTGTAATGAATCATCCATATTTGATTTTAACACTAAATGTTCGTAACTTGAACGTTGGAAATTTGGAGAACGACCGTATTTTATACAAATATTTTTTTTCTTTTTCATCAGATGTTTGAAAATATTTTTTGCCTAACGTCACAACGTTTATGAAAAGGGAATTAAATGGCACCACGGTTATGAAAATCAAATTACCTTTTTCAAGATGGGACAACGTTTATGAAAAGTGAATTAACTTTTGTCATTTTGGGACTACGTTTAGGGAAAATGAATTAACGTTTACAAAATGGCACAGCAGTTATGAAAATCAAATTACCTTTTTTAAGATGGAATAATGTTTATGAAAATTGAATTAACTTTTGACATGTTGGGACTACGTTTAGGAAAAATGAATTAACGTTTAGAAGATGGCACAGCGGTTATAAGATGATACAACGTTTATGAAAGTTGAATTAGACTTTATATGACATAGAGCGCTTTCTGCTACCATATAGGCCACGTAACATCCATTTACTAAAAAAAAACATGTTTTCCGCTTTAATCAGCTTAGTATTAATGAACAGATCCTGCTATATCTTTTACTGCTATTGTGTTATGTGGTCTATCCGTTCATTTTTATGCTAAAATGCACTTATTTTTTTTATTTTAATGACAAAACAACTTTTGTTATTGTATCTCTACTTCACATGTCTCTCTGTTTCTGTCGAAATGGAAAAAAACTGAGTAGTTTTCTCTTTTATAATAAAGTATTTGTTTAGTATGAATAAATACTTGATTGACTCAAATCTGTGGCTCTTGTTAATTACATCACCACTTGGTATAAGCTAATCTGCTATTTCAGCATTTTTGGATAAAAGATCCATTATCCTCCCGCAACACTTTTCCAGTCAGCTTTCATTTTCCCCATATCATCACTGGCTTTTATATTTACGCATGCGCATCCTGCAAAACTGTTTCCTGGTGTATCTGTTCCTCATTCTTGAACATATCTTCTTTTTCCTGTTCAAAATGTTTTATATGAGAATTATCACGTATGTATTTTAGTATCTAATGTATAATTAATTTTAAAAAATCTGAACTTTTCATCAATCTGAAGATTTACTTTATGTTTTCAGCAAAATTTATGTCCTGTATGTCTGTTATGCATTAATCATTTGGCTATTCGTTCTCGTTCGATCACCGAAGTTAAGCAGCGTCGAGCCCGGTCAGTACTTAGAAGGGTGACCGATTGGGAACACCAGGTGCTGTAAGCTATCTCCTACTATCCAAAATATGTTTCGGCTTTAAAGAGCCGGAAAGACACAAATCAATCAAATCTTTCATCATATCTCTCGTACGTTTTTATCGCAATTCCCAGACGGCAATTCTTTGATCGTAGCATTGAAAGTACCATTATTAGGGAATACATCATAAACCACGTGAGATTCAAACTTGCTTACCCTAAGGGTACAGGCTTATTTTTTTCTTTATATCTAGTCTATGATACTTACTAACGATCGTCCAATGACAATCTGGGAGTTGCGATGAAAAGCAACTGAAATAAGATGGAAGATCGATTTGTGTCATTACAGCTAACCGACCCTTTGTGGGTTCTTGAAAGCCGAAATATGTTTTGGGCTGTAGGAATTTTATGACCCTGTTGCTACGTGCTTTGATGAATGACACTCTTACTCCGGTCTGTGTCTGTTGGTCCGACCCCGGCGAGGCCACTCTGCACCAATCCTGCGGCCCCACGTTGTGTTTTTGTGTTTCAGTATACCCAAGAATATCAGCGAAGTACTCTCGAAGATCAGGCTTGACTCCTCTCTTCCCTGGTTATGCTTGAAATTTAATAACAGTCATTAACAAGTGGAAAAATAACAACTTTTATTTATGGTTCTTATGATTAATATCATGAATACATAAAAAAGGGATTTGAAGAAGTTTCCGCGCATAAAGAATTCTTAAGCTGGAAGGAAGAGGTTGGCTGACGGTGGTAGTTATGGCTAAACAGCCCAGAGTTATTCAACTAATTAAATGAAAGCAGTTGATCGAGGTAATTCCAAAAACGGCACAAAGAACAGGATTTTAGTTGATTGAGGCACCGTGGACATTCGGTAGGGAGAGTGTTGGTCTACTAGCGTCAAGACCAGTTTGATCTTACTTCTCTGCTCTTTCGGAGACTGCTTTTTATGTGGGTGCAAACCCCAATTGCACTTCTCTGATTGGAAAGCTAATAATAATGCTTTACCATTGGTCTTGTGCCGTAAGCCTCGAAGGAGAGTGAGGAAAGCTCCCAAGAACCCAATGATTGGTGGTCCAATCACAATAATGGACCTGTGTCGTAAATATCGGAAGAGAGACGTGAAACTCCATCCCAGCCCTTCTCTCATTGCCGGGCCAGTCAAAAATGATGGCCTTGTATCGCCCATACTCACTCTCAGTGGAACATTTTCCATGTTCCAGAATCTCACCCTTATTTGACCTGATTATCACAGGTGTCATCGTCAATTATATCTGAAAGCGTGTTATATCCCTGTTCAGAACAAACCTGAGCTATTAAGATTTGCTTCGTGTCACTCATTCCAAGAAACAATTCCTTTAACAAAATGAACACTTAAGTTAAACAGACCTAAGACTGTACCTAATGACCAATCCCACCCAAGCTTACAATTTCACCTCTCACACGATACTTCATAAGTGACACAAACCAGATAATTCATGGTATCGCATTGTTTTAACATGAAAATAGTTTTCTTTCTTTAGAAATAAAAAGTAGTTCACCAGTTAACCTTTGATACCAGTCATGGTGTCATAATTTGCTTACAGCACCAGGTGTTTCCAAGCCGTCCCACATCTAATTACTAACCAGGCTCGACGTTGCTTAACTTAGGTGATCAAACGAGAACGGGTGTTTGAATGAAATAAATACTTGTCAAATTAATAATGGGTAATAGGCATGTAGGGAAAAAAACTTGCTGAAAACAGAAATAAAACAAGAGAAATAATTACAAAGAAATACCCATCAAATTAATAGTAGCAATTGACTCAGCTTCATTGATGAAATTCGTATATTACTACTAATAAATAAATAGATTTTATTTCTAGGTAGACCATTTAAGTAGAATGTACTTTTAGATGTTTAGTGTATCTGTGTATATTCAAAAGTGTTTCTAAGTATAGATTTTCACTATGACTATACCACTTGGTATTATAACTTTGGTTATTGCTTTTTCTTTTCAATATGATTCAATTTAGCAAATTGATTATACCTGCTCTGTTTATTTGTTTGGAGATAACTGATATCTAATTCAATGAATATATAGGAAAAAACGCGTTAAAGAACTCATGCCTCGAATGAAAAAAGCGATATTCTACAATGTTCGGAAATAGTCGAAGGATTTTTCATCCAATGAATAAGCTTTGAATAATTTTTCATCCAATGAATGAGCTTTGAAATAATACTCGCTAAACAGAGCGTGAATTTCAAGTCACTTGAAAGCAGTAAAGAACCTTGAACGCAAAATGAATCCAAATATAAACTCAGAGACGCACGGGTGTGAACCGTGTTATAATAACATCCATACCGCTTGGAAATACAACGGCAAGTTATTTAGGTGAATGTTACCTGGCATTTGTAAAATGTATTCAACTTCCCACAGGTACTTGTTGTAAAACTGACTGACACACAGTTTTATCCAACTGCTTTCTTATTTCTGTCTGCAATGTTTTCGCTTGTGTCAGAAACTGGGATAGGAAATCTTAGACTAAAATGTAAAAGTAATTTCTTCTCCTAACAAACGAGTTTCGTCGAATTTGCCCCCAGTGTTATTACCAGGTGTTCAAGTTCAGATAAAAAACAACAGCTGAGAGTGTGTGCGCGGGGGACAGGAATACATGCTTTCTTGAAATGAATAAATGATGCTAGTAAAATCTGCAATACCCCATGACTATTTCAATCTGTTGAAATGTCAGAAAAGAATTAAGCTTTTTGTGTTTTTCGTTAAATCATATGAGAATCGATATATAAAAAATACTTATACGCATACACATCAACTCATTAAGTTACAAAATTATGCTTTTTTAAAAACAATTTCCTGCAGTATTCATCGCTGAATAGTGTTTATAATTTACTTTGGAATAGAACGGTTTATCGTTATTAAAATAAAATAAAAAAACTACTTGTAAGTACCATTATTTTATTTTTTGCTAAAATAAAATAGTGGTACTTACAAGTAGTTTTTTGCAAATTAAAGTATGAAATTAATTTTTTCGTATATATTATAATGATCGGCCACATTTGTATATTTGTATACTCAAGGAAGATATTAGATAACTGGTTTAAATGAAACAGGGGTCAACATACAAACATTCCAGATAGTATAAATATTCAATATTTCATGAAAATTCATGATGCCGTCTAACAAATTGCTTACGAGCTTATTTTCCAGTTGTCGATTAAGGTAATTCAAAATATTGCAAAAGAGGATTCCAACTTCTCAACCTAGCGAACAACTTACGAACAACACTTACGACGATGACACCTTCCCTATAAACGGCATATACCTTTTTTGTTATTTATGCAGCATTTTTACCCTTCCGAAAATAAAAAAAAATGATTCTCATTTTTTTCCATTTTCGCATTTAACATAGACTTAAAAACAATTCACAATCCACGAATCGTATAGAAAGACGCGTTGAATATGTCCCTTTTCAGAATTTGTAGATATTTCATAAATTTCAGTCACGTTTGAAAACAAATCATATATTCAAGTGCCAACTATTGACAAAAGGCTACGATATTTTGTTCCAACCAATATATAAAACTTCAATTTGATCACCTGTTTTATTCCATCTTATTTTCGTTACTAAACACACAAACGTTTCGACCAAAAAACGCAATATTCGAAATGAAGTCGCTTCAGACTTACATGTCACAACTAGCGAGCCCAACTTTCATGGACGTTTCATTAACTAAGGTGTAGCAGAAAGACTAAAGGTGTGTTGCCTGATTTACCTTACATCTTTTCTTTACCTAATATCTGGGAGTTCAAGTCTCATTGGAAGTTAATTTATTTTCAATTATTCGTTTTTTTTTCTCTAAGTGTAGAAGAGTCTTGTGATAAAAAATAATAATAATAAAGTGGAATTAAGTTGTAATAAATAAATAGATTAAATAAACAAATAATAAATAAATAGATTAAATAAACAAATAATAAATAAATAGATTAAATAAACAAATAATAAATAAATAGATTAAATAAACAAATAATAAATAAATAGATTAATAAACAAATTAAATAAACAAATAAATAAACAAATAATAAATAAATAGAAATTATAAAGAATAATAAATTTATATATTTTATTTTTTATTTTTTAAACACTTTGTTTTTATTTTCGCTCAATAATGACAGTTTTTATTTGAAACAGGTATTCTTATTCAAAAGTGGGACAAGTGTTCAAAAGTCAAAAGAAAAAGAATCACTTTTTTATATGTTGAGGAAATGACAAAAAGCAGGGTGAAAACAGAGACGCAGCTGTTTGTATGCATCCCAACAACTATGATATCATTTATTTTCGAAAAAGAAAAAATATTAGAGACCGCCCAGATGGAAATTTTTTTTTCTTCTGTTGCCTTTTAGTATTTCTTAAATGTAAGTGTTAAGTTTTCTTTATGTGTCTTGCAGCACAATTTATTGTAATAGTATTACCCATAAAATGGGATATAAGAATATGAAACTTGGCCTAAAGAAAAAACGTTATTTCTACATAACATAAGTGATCAAGTTATCAACTGGGAAAATATATTAAATCTGTATTATACGAAAGTAATGTGACTCGAATGTTTTCCGCTTGGAAATGAATGAAAAGGATATTCCTCTATCTTATTACAAATGATTTTTTTTTATATGAAAACGTTATTGGGATCTTTTTTTGTACATCTATCTGTCTGTCTATCTATCTATCTATCTATCTATCTACCTACCTACCTACCTATCTATCTATCTATCTATCTATCTCTCCCTCTGACTTACGACCAAATCACCGGTTCTTGCAAGATCACTGAAATTAAGCAACGTCGAGTCTGGTCAGTATCTAGATGGGTGACCGCTTGCGAATACCAAGTGCTGTAATCTTGGATGCGCATCGGATGTGATGGAATTGAAAATTAGAGGGCCAAGTTCCAATTCCAGTCGGGCACTTACGCGCAAATACCCTTGATTCACCTCTTCTCGCCTCCATCTATGGGTTAATTATTAAGACTTATATCAGTAAATCACTATCTCCAGAAACTTATTAGAATCTAAAAAAAATATATTTTCAATAACCAGCAAAATGTTGATAAACCGTAAAACACAAATCAATTAATAAATTCTCTCCCCCTCCCTCTTTTGCTCTCTCTTTCGCCCTCTTCCTTTTCTCTCTCACTCTCTTTCTATCTTACACTCGTTCTCCTTCTCTTTTTTTTCTATATCTCTTTTCTCTCCCTTTTTATCTATCTTTCTCTCTTCTTTTCTCTCTCTCTCTTTTCTCTTTCTCTTTGCTATTTCTATGTTTTTTCTATCCTCCCTTTGTTGGAGGGTCTCTATTTCCTTAGTATTCCATTGATAAGACGGCCTTCTTCCCCAGAACAGCTACTTTATAGAACAGACTCTCTCTCTCTCTCTCTCGAGGGGGGGGTGCTTCTCCAATCGCTACAATCGTAACCGCTTCAAATCTAGGATCAACCGTTATCTATTCTACATAACTTCATAATCTGTATTTCCTCCTCTTACGTTCAAACCTAAATCAGGAATCCCGTACCGTATTAAATGAACATTTAAACAATAAAACATTGCAATAACCATGTTATGAACGCTATGACATAAAATATAATCGCAGGTTGTTGCTGTAGGTCCATCTTGTTAGAAGCTGAGATTACAATAGCAATAAGGTCGAAATATCAACTTCATAATCAGAAAAGACGTCATAAGCGATATTCGCTATAAACCAAGTGAAAGTACAGCAGTAACAAAAATTAATGAAATCATTAATCCTATTTGATAAGTGCACTCAAGAAAATAACTGAATACTGATGCATGTGTGTGTGTGGGGGGGAGTATTTCTATCTTTTTACTCCTTGTGTGTCTATTTGTGCTGATGCTAATTTCATTTGTTTACACAGCAGCTGAAGCAACTGCTTACTTAATATTGACTGTAACCGCATTGATTTGGTTAACACATCGGTTGTCATTGACCGGAAGCTAACGATTTCCTATTCGCCCTTTCTGGAATAGCATATCCTCAGTACATACAAATGCTGCACTGTAAGAAAAATGTAAGGGTTGACTGAGATACAGCCATAGTAAAGAGGCGTCTTTTTGCCGGCTTTATATTAAGCAAATCAAAAAGAAACCGTTCACATATTTGGTGATCTCATTAAAAAAAACGTATTAATGAAAATAAATTAAAAACTGCTCGTTGCTGTTTAAACTTGTCATTCAACAATAATGTCATTAATTTTTCGCAGAAACCTATAGAGTTTCTGTAGGATATCCTGTAACAGCTTTTCACTGTTTTTTTTTGTTTTTTTTATATTATGAAAAGTGGATTTTATTAAGGCTAATTCTGATTAAGGTATCGGGTTTATCAAGATCACCCAAATAGAGCATCAGCCGTTATTTTCAATTATTATTATAGGTTTAGTTTTCGTTATAATAAAGTGTGTTCATGAATGAAATTTCTATGAAGATTCAGGAATCACCCCTATAGAGAGGAGGAGATAGATTGATTAAAGGAATGAGTGAGAGAGAAACAAATAGACACACACATATATAATATGTGCCATGTATATATATATATATATATATATATATATATATATATATATAACATTGCATTTCAAACATACTCTTCAAACGCGGGCGTATATCAAGC